TCAACCTCAAGTCCTTCAAGCACTTCTTAATTTCAGGAACGGACCTACCTTTTGCTGGTGGAAGGGTGAGTCCCTGGAGGTTAGTGAAGAATTAGAAATAATTTAATTTACCTCCCTATTTGGGCGCTTTGATGAGCTGAAAGGCCCCTTGTCAGGCAGCGAATCCATCTTCCTCCAGCCTTACATCAAATTTCATTCACTAATTAGAAACTCCTGCCCTGGAGCGTGCTGCCCCCACCCCGGCCACCCCTTCTCCCCACCAGCACCATTATGAAAATAAATCGTTCCATTAGCTGCATTGTTGTGGCTGTGGGGCCCAGCGCTGGGAGTTATTAGAGCAGGAGAGAGGGCGTTGGATTGAGCCGATGATTTATTAAGGAAAAGGACCCTGATTAGATTCTTACTCGTCCTCTGCACGTGGGCACACACCCACACCCCCCCACCCCAAGGTCTGGGGCACCCCGGGGCCACTGGAGGAAGGGCAGGGCAGGACTGCTGTGGGGTTTCCCTGAGGTTGTATCCTGCTGGATGCTCCCGTGGCTCTGAGAGCCCCAGTCTTGTGCTGGGACAGTGTACGAGGCAATGACTGTTGCCTGCTGCCAGACCCCCCACATGGTCCCTGGCTGTCCCTGCCTGCCCCTCCCTTGCATGGAGGGTGGGGGACCACCATCATCACCCCCAGCTCTGCCTGCCCTGCAGCAGGGACCTGCAGCGGGTGCTAGGTGGGTCCTGCTGACTGGAGAGGGGATACAGGAAGGGAAAAGTGGGCTTTGGTGTGTGGGCTCCCTGTGCTTTGGGAGGGGAAGCTAGAAGGTGGCCCTCCAGTGGAAGGGCTCACAGGGCTCACCCGGGTAGGCGGCAGAAGGGTCTCAGTCCCCTCCGTGGGTCCAGGGTGCTCTCTGCACCTGGAAGAGATGAGGTGGGCATGGTTGCAGATGTGGGCACTTCCCCGGGGTGCCCGTGCCCTGGGGCCCTCACAGTGCCCATGCTGTCACCGTAGGCCATGCATATGTCCCCCAGCCTGTCCCCAGAGGGGACAGATATCAGGGACACCTGCATGCTCCAGATGGTGCCTGGGATATAAGGTATCCAGGCTGGAAATAGAGTAATTGTGGGATCGGATGGTGATGCTGAGAGCTGGGGGGTGTCCAAGCCTGACCGATGGGGTGGTGGCCAGGTGTCTGTCCAGGGAATAAAGGTATGTGCAGGGCTTGGATGTGTGTGTCTGTCTTTTGGTGCACGCAGAGACACAGCGGGCTGAGGTGTGACCCCCCGAGGCTGCTGCCTGCCCAAGCACCTCCACCCTTGCCCGAGGGAGCTGCCAAGCGCAGGCAGAGGAGCTCTGAGGGCGGGAAGGTAGTCCCTACAATGAAGGGGGGCTCCCGATGCTGCCCCCATAGTGGTGCTACGGTAAAGATAGGAGCAGGAGGAGGGGGCTTGGGAGCAGAGGGGAAAGTGGTGGACGGGTTTGGGACGGTGGATGGGCTCCACAGCCAACATCACGCATCATTTGGGGTTTCCAGTGGGCCCTGGGACAGAGCCCTGGGACCCTCCCCC